AGAGCACACCCTGAACATCTCCTTTCCTTTCCTTCTTATATGTGTGCATGTGTGTATGTGTATGTGTGTATATGATCCCAGGTGTGGCCATACACACTCATACGTGATACATTCTTGTCTTAATATCACAACAACTTCACTGTAGTATGTTTTAATGGTGGGACTATATAATGCTATGTATTAAATATTTAGACAATTTTTTTAATTGGACACTTCGTATACATTTCCCATATGGATTTATTTTCTAGACTCATGCCAACAGTTTACTGTATATTAGAATTCCTGAGACTCTTGGGCTTCTAAATCAATACTAAAAGGAGGTTGAAGTGAAACTTCTAGTCCAGCAATTCCTCCTGCTGGGAAAGTGCTCAATTGTGGATCTGTAGATCTGTTCTACCCAAGGGGCAATCTTGAGTAGGCTAGTCAACCTCTCAGAACCTAGGTTTTTGGTATCTGTGAATCAAATGGGTTAACCCAGACTGTATATTCCAGATCTGGTTTATGAAATCCTCTGAGATATTTTCTGTGCTATATCAGGGGTCAAGAGGAAGCTCAGGTAATCTCTGATTTGAGAAGAGTACATCTGATCATAATATAATTATAATATAATATAATATAATATAGTATATATGACTTCACACAGGATGTCATTGGAAAACAAATTTATTAAAAATAAATTCTTAATGACCCAGAGGTACTCTATAAGATATTTGCTATGCTTTGTATGTCTCATGACTTCGTCAAGAGGAAGCTCAGGTAATCTCTGATTTGAGAAGAGTACATCTGATCATAATATAATTATAATATAATATAATATAATATAGTATATATGACTTCACACAGGATGTCATTGGAAAACAAATTTATTAAAAATAAATTCTTAATGACCCAGAGGTACTCTATAAGATATTTGCTATGCTTTGTATGTCTCATGACTTCATGGTGGATTGTGGCAGGTAAAGTAATACCAGAACAGACTACAGAAAGACAAGTTATACAAGGCACATGATGAGCATCTCTCAGTGCTAGCTGTTTCTTACTGTGGTATGAGTAAACTTGTTTGAAGATAGACTCTCAATTTGATATCCTCGGTAAGGTTCAAGCCAAATGCTATTCTTGCCTCCCTCTGACTATTTTTCTTTTTTTATTTATGTGCATGAGTATATTGCCTTCATGTATGCAAGTGCATCCGTATCATGCAATGCCTGAGCAGGTCAGAAGAGGGTGTAGGATTCGCCTGGAACTGGAGTTACAGACAATTGTTAGCCACCATGTGGATGCTGGGAATTGTACATGGGTCCTCTTTAAGAACAGCCAGAGCTCTTAACCACCAAGCCCTCTCTCCAGGCCCCCTCCCTCTGACTTTTAGTAGAATGTTCAGCTCCTACAAGATTTCTTATCGTATATATTTGTGTCTCAGAGATAATCCTTTCATCAAGGATTTGAATGACAATGAAATTACTCTAGGGTCCAGAGAGTTCCTAAGTGTACTTTGCCTCTTTTGGTCATAGCTTCCTATATATAAGCTTAATAAGTATATTAACATCATCCCAATAGTCAAAACATTTTATTAATGGAAATCAAACAAAACATATTAGAATATTTCTCTGAATTTTCAATATTGGAGGTAATAACTGTTGCAGTCTATATTAACAACTTGTTTAATTCATGGAAGCTCAAAATAAAATGAAATATTTCAGTTTAAAGCTAAGGTCTGAAAGAAGAGTGAAACAGAAATGTGAATGATAAAAGAAAATATTCCTACTTTATGCATGAGCAAGATGTAAAGAAAGTGAAAAGATGGTTTCTCCTTCCCATGGGTAGTGCAATAGAAAGCTGTTTATTTTGGTAGTGTTCTGTGCTATATATTCACAACTTCTTTTTTAAAATTATTTTTAGTGTTTGAGAATTTCATACATGAATGCTGTACTTGCTCATTTTTATTTCTCCCTCTCTCCCCTCTGCTCTTCCCATGCCAACCATTTCCTCTCCATTTCATGACCTCTTCTTAGACTAGTATTGTTACATGTGCATATACATATACATAATGTACTGAGTCTATTTAGTAGTGCTTGTGTGCGTGTATATTTAGGGATGACCACAGGGACTGGATAATCCATCAGGGAACTCATTCCTGGAGAAACGGATTCAGCATCCATTGATTGCCAATAGCTCTTCATCCAGATGTGAGACCTTATGAAATTTCCCCTTTCCACATTGGTGTATCAACTGGTGTTATTATTAGCAGGTCTTGCTTAGACACCCACATTGTGGAGATTTCATGGGGATACCTTCCCTGTCAGCTTTAGAATACACTGTCTAGTGGCAGGCTTCCTAGTCTTCTGTCTTTTACAATCTTCCTTTCATGTCTTCCATCAATGTTCACTGAGCCTTAGCTGTAGGAATTGTACTATAGATTTATTAACTGGGGATAGGCACTCCATTGTCATTTATTCACCATCTTTTGACCAGTTGTGGATATTTGTAATAGTCTTCATCTGTTGCAAAAAGAAGCTTCTTTGATGCATAGTGAGAGCTACACTTATCTGTGTATATAAGGATAAGTATTTAGAATACATTTAGAAATTACGCGGGTTTAGGAAACAGGTAGCTGTAGGTTCTCTTCTAGAGTCAATGACTTCTCTATCCATTGGTATTTGGCTGTTTACGGTACCAGATTACCATCTGCAAAGCCTACAAATCACAATGATAATCAATCCAGCAAATATCCTTAGCGGTGTAATAGTGGCACTTTTGGGGGTAACCAATGGTTGTCTAGTTGGACTTAAGCCCACTCAATAGGAATGAATTCAACTTTTTTTTTTTGAGACAGGGTCTCCCTGTATTCCCAGGTGGCCCTGTATTTGCTGCGTAGACTAAGCTGGCCTCAGTCTCACAGAGATCTTCCTGCCTCTGCCTCCTGAGTGCTGGTATTAGAAATATGTACCACCATGCCTGACTTCACTTTTTTTTATATATCAATAATATAAATTCTCAACCTGTATATGATCCCTAATCACTAGGTGAGGATGTTGCTTGAATTCACTGAATTTATTGAGAATAGTAGTTTATGAGAAATGTAATGCACAATGCAACACAACAAACCAGGCTACAGAAACCCAGGAGAATACAGGATGTTCCAGCCTTCTTGGTACGAGCATGATTGGAAAGCAGCTGAGGCCTTATTGCCAGAGTTCTAAGATAACTAGGTTGGAGTGAGTGCTCTCTTTTAGTTCCATTGATGCGTCAGCTTGCCACTCACACTAAACTGTAGGTGAGCAGGACAGCAATTGTGATTGATGATCTTGCTTGAGAAAACTACCTCATTTTCACACTCAGGTATGCCGGTTTCAGCCCATTTTCAGCCCGGTGGATGTAATCCTGATGGTTTTGAGGATCGCCAAAAGCACCTGAAAGTTCATGCAATGTAGCAGTTTATCCTTTTATAAAGGCATAATTTTGAATCTTATGCATCAAAGAATAATAAGCAAGAGAGAGGCACTGAACAAGCAAGTGGGCCTGGGCTGTCTCCATACACCTACACTTCAGACTGGCTATTATTGTTCTTTGCTTTCACTGCCTTCATAATAACTCTTCACTGGTAAAAATCATATTCTTGTAAAGAAAATCTACTGGTTTAGTGGTGAAAATCAAAGGAAAATAACATGTCAGAGACATGGTTCTTAGCTAGAAAGTAGAAAAGTTTGGAGAATGAAAACTTGTATTAGAAATGGCTAAATTACAGAGAAGGTAAAAATATGACTTTTTTTCCAGGGGCTCAGTGGAGAAAAGGGAAAGGATGAGTAAGTAAAGCGTTGAGCACTTTGGGAATAGTGACACTATTCTCCATGACACTGTCATGGTGTATCACATTATGTGTTTGTCAAAGGCCTCGGAACTATAGAATACAGAGAAAGAAGCCTAACCCATGCCATACTGTGGTCATAGGTCAATGTTCACTCATCAGTATTGGTCCTTTAACTGTAATAAGGTTTGCACACCACTGCAAGATGCTCATAAAGAATTTTTTTGCAGAAAGAGAGTGCTGCACAGGAACTATGCATTTTACGCTTATTTTTTCTACAATGCTAAAACTGATCTAGAAATGAAGCCTATTTTTTTAAAGGCTGAATTAGGAGGGATTACCTCCATTGTTACAACATGAATAGTCACACAGATACTAAAGAAATAGGAAAAGAAATCTATGAAGCCATTCCAGTGAGTGCTAATGTGCTAATCTCTGTGTAAAGCTATTTACCAAGTGAGAAACACAATGTTCATCAGTTACATGATTTTATGAAAAACACAACCAATATACAATTGAACTCAAGGGTGTGTTGGAAGAAGCCAAAAGCCTATGCACACATTTCTATGAAGCAACTAGTGAGTCTAATGGATCAAGTTAAATGGGTGAATTAAGAAGTATTTGAAGAGCACTCCATTCTGAAACCAAGAGGAGAAGGCCACTCAGCTGCACATGTTTTCAGAGTAGGAGAGAGAATTTTCACATATTAAAGGAAGATATTTTTGCAGTTGTGCTTGCCCAAGAAGAATAATTTAGTATCTTGAAAGTCAGAAGGCAGACCATGTCCTCTGACACCTTGAAGACGGGTCCCTCTCAAGGTCATCTTCCTGAGTTGCTGTGCTCATATTTCTGTGTAGCACTTTCCATCTCCATCTGCATCTTGATCCTCAGCATAGTACTTTCTGCTTGTTTATATTACAAGAAAAAGAATTGAATGTAATACAGACTTGAGCTTATTTTAGTTACTTTTTATTGTTATATGTATACAAATGACATAAGCTCATATATCTAGCACTGTTAAGATTCTAAAGAATTCAGTGAAATTTTTCAGCTCTAGTTAAGTCTTTTAGTGAGAGGGTAAAATTAAATATTTTTAAACAGGGTCCCTCTGTACCCCCAGTTGGCCTAGAACTTAACTATATAGATCAGGCTGGTCCTCAGTCTTACAGAGATCTTTCTCCCTCTGCCTTCCTAGTGCTGGGATTAAAGACATGTACCACTGCACCTGGCTCATCTGAGGATTCTTGAAGGTCTTGGGAATGCTTCGTTGTCATAGGAACATCTACTTTTCTTTGAAGAAGTGACAACGTTCAGTGTCCTAGCAGAAGGAAAATGAAAATTCTATTAATTTTCAGAAATATGTTTGAGTGCTGAAGCTAAATGCACAGGAGTGATGTAAATGGAAACAAAATGAACAAAGGTAAATATAATAGCAACACAAGCTAATATAATATTTTTCTACAGAAATCGAAACAAGATTCCAGAGAGGCTTAGAAATGTAGCTTATAAATTTAATAGCAGTATAGCAAATGAAGAAAAAAGCATGTTTCTAGCTTAAAATGTATTTAAGCAGGCACTGTGCAATTACTGACAACTTGTGTTTTTCGAGTTCTACCATAGATCTTTTGTGGGCTACATACGTTACTGAGAAAATTTGCCATCTACATGGCAATAACATTAAAAGCATCATTTTGAAAGCACTACATAAAATAAACACTGCCTTGAAAACTGGGTGGTTGCTAGGAAATAATGTCAAGTGCAATCCTCTCCAGTTATGTCTGATTTTTTCCATTTTATATCTTCCTCAATCATTAGGGCTTAACCCCTAAAGGAATTTACATGAGCATAGCTTTCATACCTCTGCAAATATAAATTTTCCAGGGGTTCCATTCAGTCCTTAGAAGGCTTTACGTATTAGTGCTAAGAATTTTGGGCAGGGTCAGTTGTTCTAGAAAAGGCTAACACTTGGGTTCTTGACCATATGGGGGCTTGTACAGCACAGGGGAAGATGGAACGGGGCTGAATCTGTGTGCAAATTTATCTTTTCTTTCAACAGGATGAATCAGGGAGAAAAGGCTTAGGGGTAAGCCAAATCAAGTGATTTGAGTTATTTTAAGAAGAAGCAATTCATTGCACTAGTTGCCAAACTGAAAATGCCTGGACAGCCTGCTCAAAGAGCCAGCAGCAGGAAGAGAGAAGGTGATGCCAGAAACTACTGCCAAGGGGCACTGAGAGAGCATGGGCAGCTCTCCTCCCGTGAATTAGCATTTCAATGGTGCGACTCACTAGGGGGCTGAGAAATCCTGAGTGGTTTCTCTCAGTATGTACCTAAGATTTCCTTTTCATTCATTCTACCTACCCAGTAGAGGTGGGTCCTGACTCACTGACACAAATAGGGATAGCTAATACAGGGAAACAACTCATGTAAGATCTGAAGTTTCCTTCTCTCAGTATCAATAGCTGCTATGCCTACTAGCACATTTTGCGGCACCAGAACAACGAACACATTCATCATCTTATTAAACCTCCTATCACTCTATGAGCTCCTAAAAATGTTCCATTTATAGCTGCAGAACTGAGAGGCTCTAAGTGGTCCAGTGTATCAAAACTTGAAATACAAGCCAGGAGCATTGAAAAACTAAAAGCATTGAAAAGCATTTGGAACCTTTGGTTTCAAAACAAAAGGTCCACTGTTAATTCGTGCAGGAAGACACACCTATAACACTCACGAACTGTGTACTTCCCCTGTGCTAGGTGCTCTGTGTGGAAATATAGATAAAATGAAGTTTTAAAAAATTCCTCAGTTCTGTGTAAGGCACAGAGCACGTAGACCCATGAGAATGATTACCCAAACGACAGTCAGCCCAGAATGGTGAAAAAAATTTTTGCAAAGAAATTTTTATTTTCATATACATGAAAAAGTCTTTACCAAAGGGCAGTCTCCACAGGCAGACTCTCAGAGGTTAGAGTCACACTCATTGTCATGGCTGTGAAAGGGCTGAGACTCTGATTTAAAAAAATCAGTCATTGCTAATAGAATCATTTTAATTTCTGGATTACAGAAAGTGCCACAATGTGGTTAACTCATTAACCACAAATGAGATAGTGAATTAAAGGCAGTCTTATTCACATTTCATTTGATACTTTTAGTAGCAAAAATATGCCTGAATTAAGTCATTTTGAGTTGATAACACTGTCATTTTAGGACAAAATTTATCAGTGCCTAACATTAAAAATATATATTGTGTCTAATGTAGAGAGAGCCAAGATCGCCTTAAATAAAGTAAAAGTAAATATGAGCTGCTTTTAGCCAGTCCCTTCACAAATGTGCAGACAACCAGACTCCCCATGAGAAACTTTCCACTTCTAGGCTTTTGTGAGACAGGAAACTGTCAAGTGGTAGCAAAAGAAGAAAGACTGATTGATAAAGAAACTCAAATACCATGATATACCTTAGATAGTGCTGTTCATCATTTCCTGGTACATGCTTGCAGTCAGGGAAAGGGAAATAAGTTTTGCTTCAACAACAGAACATTTTACTAAACATAGGCAACACAATAGATGAACATAGAATCCTGTTTCATACAACCCACTCAGCCTCCACACATCCAGCTATGCTTGATAAACAGGCACCTGCAGTTTATCTGCCCACACTTAGTGTCATCATACAACTTGTATCAGTATCTAATACAGTCATAGCTTTTATGCCCTCCTGTCATACTTCTCCAGTTTTCTCTGAACACATTTGAGTAAATAGTTATTTGAACCAGTTTGATCTTTGGAATATTTTAGTGAGGATCCCACACAGACCCCCTTCACAGTCAATTTCTAAGACGATGAAAAAAATCCTACCATGTTAGCAGTCCTAATGTTATTACTAAAGGGATGATTTTAGTTTGCATCTGATCCTCACTTTAATACATTTAAAGTCATTATTCCAATGAAAATGAAGCTTGCTATTTCTGCATTCCTACACTGCCCTTCTTCCCCAAGCATCTCGGAAAGGCAGCCTTGTGTCTGTGCTCCATTTGTCACCTGGAGTGTTGTGGCTGGAGCCCTCCAGGGCTGAGTATCACAGTGAGTCTCCCCTTCTTTTTCTCTTGTGTTTACTTCACAGATATGGATTTCTTTGGAGACAAAATCTTACTAGGTCAACAGAAGAGGGACAGGATAAAGTGCCGGCCACTCCTTGTTACCCTTCTCATTCATGAATTGGCATCATGGTGTACAGACTGTCTGGAGGACTGTCCAGGGCAGTAGTGCTTCAAGCACTTCCTGTTAGAAGCACTGTAACACATTCACTAAAACAGAGAGTGCTAAGTGCCAGGGTTCACGGGGTAGTTCTTGGAACTGGAGAAGAGCAAGGGATCTTTGTGAAAGAAGTTATACTTGGACTGAGCCTTGTAAGACAGCAGACTTGTTCGTTTTACCTGAATGCAAGTGCATCTTTGATTTTTCAAAATCCAACATGTCCTTTCAAGGTCCAGCCAGACTGATTCCCCTCTGGAAAGTCATCCATGTTTTCCTTCCACTCTGAACCAGAAGTCACTCTGCACTTCCCTTGTGCTGTCAATGGTGTGCGTGCGTTAATGTGCCTGTGTTTTATGATGGACTAGTCTACGCAGCTCTCAACGGTCTACATCCCTGATAGCACCTAGCACGCATGGCTCTTATTATGGGTCCCCAGTTGGTCTCTATGACAAGCGAATAAACAATGTCATTTGCTCTTTTGTGGCCTGTGGTTTCACTTGCCTGCCCTTTCTACAAAAGAATAATCCAAGCAATTTTCTCATCTTTCCTAATATTTGGGGAAATACATGAAGAAGCTTCACTTTATACACAATGAAAATTGGGCTCAGGGTATGACCTTGTACTTTCTATGTTGATTTATTATAGAACAATATGTAACACAGGAGAAAAATACCTAGCTTAAAAATCTTGTTGCCATTTTATTACAGTGCTTCCCATGAGCAAAAAAGCTGAAAACTAGACTCAGTCTTGATGACTGAGATTAGTTATATCATGGAACTTGATTTTCAGTTTGAATAACTATGTATCTCTGGCATGTACTGATCCAATTTTGCTTGCTGAGTTAAAACACTATATGTGAAGCATTTTAAATATATTATGCCAGCTCTCAAGAGGTTATAGGGGAATGAGCACAATTACTGACATTCCTAAATTAAATATACTTATAGCTAGTTCACTCCCAGTGAGAACATAAATCAGGCAGTAAGATGAATTTACTTTTAACTTCTTCAGACCTACGGAAAGTACTGGAATTAAACATTCTAATTCATTTACTAATTTCCAGTCCTAAAGTAAATAACCAACTCCTTTATATAATAACCAATTCTTTTGGCAGAAAGTTGTGATAACATACAAAAAGTTTTCTACAAAGTATGATTATTAGGAAAATTTCACTTTCTCCCTTAGAAAAGGAATAATGTAAATTAAGTTTTGTAATTGAATTGAAATAGAAATAAAAATTCATTCATTTTTCAA